TTGTCTTTATAAAAATGAGTTGAGGCTTCTTATTGTTCCAGAAGAGGAATTCAAATACACTTATCCGTCAATATGAATGCACAATATTTTATTCCCACCCTTCTCCCCGGTCGGACTCATGTTAAAATTTAGAAATACAGCAAGCTGTAAACTCATGAATGCATCTATTCTGCATTATAAACATGTCATGATACAGCGTTTGCCAACTATAGATTCCATATTTCTTATTATAAGAGAGAGAGAAAACAAGTTAAAAAATATATATTTGAGCAATGCACAGAAATAGCTGCTGTTTATATACCTGAGTTTCAAAAGCAGTTATTACATATATTTTGATTTTATTCTAATGATCAAGGTGCAAAAAACTAATAATAAATTTATTCTGAAGGACTTAGAAGGCATAGATTTGCAAAAAATGAAAGCAAATCAAAAGTGTTAAAATAAAATCATAGGGTGTTATGCCTTATGCTCAGAGATCCCACAGTGAATTACTATACTGAGAGGACTGCACTGTGTTAGCAAAACCAATGCAGTTGGCGCTGTGCAGAACACAGAAATTGAAGAGGGGAAAGTGTCTTGAGACAGGAAGAAAGAGTATTCCAGTCGCAGAGGGCAGCACTGCTATATAGGAACAGACATGGTGCTGAATAGAGGAGCTAAGAACAGGGGAGTTTGTGCAGGAGACAGATGTTTGGAAGGACCCAGTGGCTCATCTGATGTGGCTGCTTGCAGGAATACAAGGTAGCTCTAAACCAGGGATGGAGAAAATGGAGCTGTTGCTGAACATCTTCCTTGACAGTTGCCCATCCTGTCTGAAGCTCCATGAGAATTGAAGTCCAACATCTGGGTGGTCACAGGCTCCCCATCACTCATAGAAATTATTCCTGACAGAATAGCCCCAACAGCAAAACCAGAGGGACATGTCCCAACTTTTCATGGCAGAGGAGCTTGTCACAACTTCTCATGGCTATGCAACTCTCACCTTGTGTCACGGCTGAACTGCTCTTAGGCGCCACATCCCAACACAGAATTGGGTATACTTAGTACTGAGTCAGATTGCAGCCCAAAGATTTAACTGAAATGTACTTTGTAATTCAAAACTATTGCTTCTAGAACTGGATAGGTGGAATCATGGTTGCCCTGCTCCACTCTCCAGTCATTTGGATTCACAAGATGAAGTCTTTAGCAGGTAAAGGTAAAGGGACCCCTGACCATTAGGTCCAGTCGTGACCGACTCTGGGGTTGTGGCGCTCATCTCGCTTTATTGGCCAAGGGAGCCGGCGTACAGCTTCCGGGTCATGTGGCCAGCATGACTAAGCCGCTTCTGGCGAACCAGAGCAGCGCACGGAAACGCCGTTTACCTTCCTGCCAGAGTGGTACCTATTTATCTACTTGCACTGACGTGCTTTCGAACTGCTTGGTTGGCAGGAGCAGGGACCGAGCAACAGGAGCTCACCCCATCACGGGGATTCAAACCGCCAACCTTCTGATCGGCAAGCCCTAGGCTCTGTGGTTTAACCCACAACGCCACCCGCGTCCCTAAGTCTTTAGCAACTAGGTGCCAAATAGATGTGATGAGGTGGTACATTTCCTGACTGAGGAATGAGGGACCGAAATCCTAACAGGAACAGGGGGAAGCAAAGCACAGTTGCAAGACTGGTTCCCGCCACAGCACAGACAAAATCATGGATAAAAATGCAGCTGGGTGAAAAATTGTATCAGTGCTATTGGCAACAGGAAAAACTTTACTCACAATTTTATGCCATAAGATGGGAAGGGGAAACCCGTGTCCCTGCAAATGTTTTTGGACTCCAGCTTCCAGCAGCCCTAAGCAGCATGGCTCTCTAGTCAGGAAACATGGGCAGGGGCGTAGGAAGGGGGGGTGGGGGTGGTCCCCAGGTGCCACCATGGAGCGGTGTGTGTGTGTGTGACAAATTATCAAGGGACAATTACTGCCCTACTAGGGCGGTTCATAAAATTTTTTTTTTTTAAAAAAATGCCTGCTCCAAAGGTCTTATCTTACTACACTAGGGATTATATAGCTATACAGTGGTACCTCGGGTTAAGTACTTTATTCGTTCTGGAGGTCCGTTCTTAATCTGAAAGTGTTCTTAACCTGAAGCATCACTTTGGCTAATGGGGCCTCCTGCTGCCGCCACACGGCCAGAGAACGATTTCTGTTCTCATCCTGAAGCAAAGTTCTTAACCTGAAGCACTATTTCTGGGTTAGCGTAGTATGTAACCTGAAGTGTATGTAACCTGAAGCGTATGTAACCTGAGGTACCACTGTATATGAAATTTCATGCATATCAGTTAATATCTTGACCCTCCTCCATGAAAATAGCTGTTTACTTGGCCGTTTTCCTGTGTCGTGAAGGCTGAAATTTCAATTCAGTGGAGCAGGGTCAAGATATTAACTGATGTGTTTTTTGTTTCGGTAAACCACTTTGCAGGTTTTTAAAAATAATTTTTATTAAATAAATAAACAATAAATATAAATAAAATAAGACAAGCCAAAACACAACCCATCCTGTAGATTTAAGTATCTGTCCACAGTCGCCTACTTGTTATCAGAGGCCCAGAATCCCCTGTCCTAAGCACACAGGTGTAAAAATCAGCCAGGATTAAACCGTCAAGATAAAGGACTGAATAAGGCAATGGCCTGGATTCGAAAAGCTTCCTCAGGCATGCTCATGAGGTTTTGGCCTTCTCTCTGCTTTGCTGAACAGCAGACCCCTGTGCCACACTATCAATTGCTTTTGCAACTTTCCCCAGCTCCAAAAGCCCCTTTGCCATGTGGGCTGCTCTTGGAGAAAGACAAATCCCAAAGCATCTCGTGGCGCATGGAAGTAGCAGGGGGGCTCTTTGGATCCCAGCCAAAAAGGTTCAAGGCTGCTGGTAAAATGTTAATAGAGAATTGGGACGTTTAAATGGTGTTGGCAAGACTGCAGACAGTGTTAGGGAATTAATCAGGAGTAAATGAGCAGCATGGGACACGGGTGGCGCTGTGGGTTAAGAGGACTTGCTGATCAGAAGGTCGGTGTTTCAAATCCCGTGACGGGGTGAGCTCCCATTGCTCGGTCCCTGCTCCTGCCAACCTAGCAGTTCGAAAGCACGTCAAAGTGCAAGGAGATAAATAGGTACCACTCCGGCGGGAAGGTAAACGGCGTTTCCGTGCGCTGCTCTGGTTCGCCAGAAGCGGCTTAGTCATGCTGGCCACATGACCCAGAAGCTGTACGCTGGCTTCCTCGGCCAGTAAAGCGAGATGAGCGCCCAAACCCCAGAGTCGGTCACGACTGGACCTAATGGTCAGGGGTCCCTTTACCTTTACCTTTTAAATGAGCAGCATATTTGCGTCCTCAGCCCAAATATTATTATTATTATTATTATTATTTCATTTTTATTATTATTAGTTTATATACTGCCCTATACCTGGAGGTCTTAGGGCGATTCACAGAAAAGATTACAATTTATATAATCAGAATAAAAACAACAACCCAATAACACCTCCCCCCGCCCCAGAAAAGAGCCACATTTTAAAAGGGTATAGGATGTCAAACAGATCAACCAAAGGCCTGCTTGAAAAGGAACTTTTTTGCCTGGCGCCTAAAGATGTGTAATGAAGGCGCCAGGAGAGCATTCCACAGATGGGGAGCCACTGCAGAGAAGGCCCATTATCGTGTTGCCACCCTCCAGACCTCTCAAGGAGGCAGCACATGAAGGAGGCCTCAGAAGATGATCTCAGCGTCCGGGTAGGTTCATATGGAAAGAGGCGGTCCTTGAGGTATTGCGGTCCTGACCACAATAACAGAGGAAGTGCCTGACAGGGTCAGATCATTGGTTCCTCTGCACTGAGTGCCTTTGGATTCTAGGACTTCACATAAGTCTTTCCCAGACCCAGCTAGAGGAGCCATTGATCCTAGAGCATATGTTCTAGCACGGAGCTATAGCACTTTCTTAAGACGGGTTGGGGATTGTTATGCTATTTTTGCTCTTGACAGGTTGCAGAAAGTCAATGGATTCTGGCGCCGTAAGAAAGCTTTTCCTTGATTTGGCAAGAGATGTTGGGCACAATATAATGATGAAAGATTGCGAAAGGTTGTGGAAGAAAGGGGTCAAGTTTACTGCATGTACTGTATTAAAGGAAAATATTATGAAAATGATGTATAGATGGTACTTAACCCCGGTGAAATTAGCAAAGATTTATCATACAAATGACAATCAATGTTGGAAATGCAAAGAAAAAGAAGGTACTTTTTATCATAGGCGGTGGACGTGTCTTAAGGTGAAAGACTTCTGGGAAAAGATTTATAATGAGTTGAAAAAAATGTTGAAAAATACATTTATTAAGAAACCAGAAGCCTTTCTACTTGGAATAGGATTGGAATTGCCCCCCAAAAATGTTATACTGTTTTTGTATGCCACTACAGCGGCAAGACTTTTATTAGCCAAAAATTGGAAATCGCAAGAGATACCAACAATAGAAGATTGGCAGATGAAGATGTTGGACTTTTTGGAGTTGGTCGACGTGACTGGAAGAATCCAGGACCAGAAAGAAGAGGAGAGAGGATTGGAATAAATTTAAAGAATATTTAGCTAAATATTGTAATATAAGATAAATAGAAAATTCTTGGAAGCAATAAACAGGCTTAGGGGTAGAATAAGAATATGTGGTAGTAAAGATTAAGGATTAGAATATTAATAAAAGAGAAGAGGATAGTAAATGAAAGGAGTTAATTTTACTAGAAATATGATTTTGGAGAACTGCTACACAGGTGATACAGTGAAATTCAGTTAGATACGAGGAATTCGAGGATTCGAGGAAGTCAGTTATCAATGTAACAAGAATTAGATATTGGAAGAAACAAATTTTCTTTGTGTTTAGTTTATTGTTTATTGTATTGTAATGTGTCTCTCCCCCCCTTTTTTTCTTTTCATTATAAATGTGGAAAATCAATTTTAAAAATTGGAAAAAGAAAGAAAGAAAGCTTTTCCGCAACATGAGATTCACCCGCTTCCTTTTCATTGTGGGTTTGCTTCATGTGACGCCTTTCTTCTGCCATAGCCAGATGAACCCCATGGCTCTTGGCCGAGCTGATCCCAAATGCTGGGAATCCTCCTCAGCCGTCTTGCTGGAGATGAGGCAGCCGCATGTTTCTGACTCTGTTAGCGGCTTTTGGGACTTTATGATCTTCCTGAAGTCGTCTGAGGACTTGAAGCACGCGGCTTTGTTTTGGCACCTGGCCCAGCTCTTCTGGGATATCTACACAGACTGCGTACTCTCCAGAACCCACGGCTTAGGGAAAAGGCAGTTGGCTGAAGCCCAGAGGCAAATTGCAGCTCTTCCATCTTGGCTCATATTGAGTAAGCAAGGTTAGTACTGTGCACCCCGGGGGCAGGAAGGCAGCAGCAATGTCCAGAACTTTTATCAACCCTAGTCAGACAGGTGTGCGAAGGAGGCATTTCATGGGCTTGCTCCCACACGGACCAAATCAGGGTCCTCAATCTTTCTGTACCTGGGGGCACATTTGGAAATCTGTGGTTTTCCATGGATCTGAGGGCAATGAAACAATCACTGAGACGGCTAGAGCGCCGGTGGTGCATAACTCATTCTGAAGCTGACCGGACATGGGTTAGAGCTCAATGTTGAGCCTACCAAGTGGCGGTAGCAACGGCAAAGAAGACTTTCTTCACAGCCTGTATTGCATCTGCAGAAAACAGCAGCAGGAGACTTTTCTAGGTGGTTCACAATTTAGCGGAACCACCTGCTACATCGGGGCCCAGTACGGGCCACATGATCTCCTGCAATGATTTTGCTAAGTTTTTTGCAGATAAAGTCGCTCAGATTCGGGAAGAGGTAGACTCCACCGTGGGAGCAGGGCCGGGCCGGGAGAGTGCTAGAGTCCTGTCTAGTCAAGTTGAGTGGGATCAATTGCAATCTGTTACCTCCGAGGATGTGGACAGGCTGCTTGGACGAATGAAACCAACCACCTGTCTCCTTGATCCTTGCCTATCCTGGCTTATAAAAGCTTCGCGGGGTGGTGAATGCTTCTCTCTGTGAGGGAGCCTTCCCAGACCCACTGAAAGAGGCGGTTATCAAACCGCTTCTTAAAAAAACATCTTTAGATGCTGCCAATATGGCCAACTATCGCCCAGTCTCAAATCTTCCATTCTCGGGCAAGGTGATTGAGCGAGTGGTTGCTGAACAACTCCAGGCATGCCTGGAAGAAGCAGACCATTTGGATCCCTTCCAGTCGGGATTCAGGCCTCATCATGGGACTGAAACTGCCTTGGTCGCACTGGTCGATGATCTCCGGTGGGCTAGGGACAAAGGTGAGAGCTGTTTCCTAGTTCTGCTGGATCTCTCAATGGCTTTTGACACCATCGACCATAACATGCTTCTGGACCATCTAGAGGGGCTGGGAGCTGGGGGCACTGTTATACAGTGGTTCCGCTCCTTCCTCCTGGGCCATGTTTAGAAAGTGGGGGGGAGCATGAGTGTTCAGACCCCTGGGCTCTCACCTGTGGGGTGCCTCAGGGTTCTGTCCTCTCCCCCATGCTTTCAACATCTACATGCAGCCGCTGGGAGAGATCATCGGGGGTTTGGGCTAGGTGTTCATCAGTAGGGTTTGCGGCGTTCAGGAACCAATTTGTTCCAGAGCCAAGCCAAAGGGAACCAAGGTACCACCATTGTAGCATTAAGACAGAAGAAACACTGGGGATGCATAGAACTACTGCCACCCCACAAAATACCCAGGTAAAGCACCTACAAACACTTTAAAACAAATAAAACCCAGGCATAAAAAAGCCCCCAAAAACTAACAAACAGGTAACCCCTCCCCAATCTAGCAACTTCCCCCAAAACCCTCAATTTAAAATAATAAAATTGGGAGGGGCAAGGAGGCTAGGTAGGTGCCATCAGGGGTGTCTTAGGGTGCCATGGTGCCCACGAGTGTTTTGTAGGGGACTCAAGGTCTAGGTCCCATGCAACTAGTGGCAATGTCAGAAGAGGTCCCGGCCAAAGTGAAATCCATGTGAACCAGAAACATGGCTTAAATTTGTTGTTAAATCTATTACTATCGATGGAGCACAGTTGTCACTGTAATTGAATTGTGCCCTTTGTATGGTGGCACAATTCTAGAAATCCAGGGATTACTTCTCTCATGGTTATACATGCTGAAAACTATGCAGCCAAAGCAGGCATCAAAGGGATCTCAGTGGGGATGGATAAATCACTTGGCTGCTCATAAGATACATGAGGTGGGCATTAACATAGCTGAAACTCTTTTCTGAGCAAGTTCCTTCAAAGGGAACGGGAACTGCCTTTGTTGCCCTTTCAGTTGCTTGAACAGAGAATGTGTAGACAAAGATATGTTGCTCATATTTTACTGGACTGATAAGTATTTCCCCCCAAAAAATATCTGCTAGATTTCAGTTCATATAGGATGTGTGATTAGATTGATTAGATATCAGTTTGCAGGTTCAAATTCTGAAACCCTAGCTGGCACAAACCATCGTTCACACTGGCACCAACAATAAATTTAACTGCAATAAGAAGGGTTGAGTTAGCTCCAGGAAGTACAAAAACACATATATACAAAACTGACTCCAACGTATTAATTATGGTTAGGAGAGAGCCAGAATCACAACAGCACTGTTCCTCAGTCTCAGATCTCTGTCAGTAAAATGTGAATAATGGCAGGTGTTTGAGCAAATGGGAACTGTAAAATAATGATGTTATTCAGCCTGAGTGTTAAATCATAGACTCGGTGAACTAAAATATAATCATTATTTTATTTTTAAAAAGCTGCAAACTTAACAAGGGCCACGGTTCTGCTAGCTCCTAAATGAGAAGGAAATAAATCAGGCTATCTAAATTTCAGCTGGGCTTTTGTTTCACCATGTAGTCAGTCCATGTTAATTTAACAGAAACATCCACTTCCATGAAAAAGAAAAATCGATGGACCACACAACACAGAGAAACATATTATCTAGCATCTTATAAAAATGAAGCAAACTGCTGATTCTTAAGCATGGTAACCATTATAGCAGGAGCACCTTTATTTCATCCGAGGTTCACAATAGCTAGAGCTGTGCAAAATGTTGATTTGGATAGGTTAAGGTTGCCATATTTCAAAAAGTAAGAAACCATGACACAACGAAAGTGTTAGGAAGACCCCAAAATTGTTGAGCTTTCCCCATCCCCCATCTCATGCTTAGTTAGATTTGATATTTTGTCCTGGTTTTTTCCTTACTCAACTGATTGATTAATTCACTGTAGCTTTAGTGGTCATCTGAATGTTGTATGTGTCAAGTTCATCCAATGCCCAATGAATTGTACAGGTGAGGGATATTCCAATCCATGTTCATTTACCATGCAAATCACTTTAACATAGATTAAATATCTGTTAACACTTGTTAATTAACCTAACTTGCAGCCACAGGCATGAAATACTTAATTTAAATTAAGTGCTGTACCTCCCCACTTATCCCTGTTAAATTGCCGACGATTAATGTTAATCACTCATTTATATATCTCGGTCACTAAATGGGAAGCCCTTGAACACTGTGTAAGTTTGCACGTGAAGAGCAGCAGTTTCATTCACTCTGGTTTATTTTACCACATGCAACATCTGATCTCATGATCAGTGAAATATGCTCAGAGTTGAGAGTGGATTTCATGCTCTTTATTCAGCTCATAGTGGTGAGGAGGAATGGAAGCTCCCCCAGAATGTCTGCCTTATATATATTATTTACACAATGGGCCCCACGTGATTGGCTAATTCCGGAATTCTCCTGTAGGCCAATCAGGTTGTGGATTCACTTCCATCTGGACCTGGATTGGGTGGCTCCTGCGGACCAATCATATTGCTGCGTTGTTCTAGGACCAATCAGACTGCTGCATTTTGGATCCTATTCAACTCAGTACATAACAATCAGGATGATTTGAAGTATGTCTTTTGGGAGGGATTAAGCATCACACTCCTCTGATTGTCCCATAAGTGCAAGGATTTTGACTTGCCAGACACAATGTTCCCCAGTCCCCACCCCCCTGCACTCTGTTCCAAGGTTTCGCCCAACCTTCCCTACCCCCAAGCCAATTTTTTTTTGGGGGGGGGGACTGGGGGAAGCATTACAGCACAAGTAGAAGTCCTTGTGCACAGTTTCCTCTGGCAGAACTCATTCGGCGATTCCCACGGTCTTCTTATAAATTAGCTATCATATCAAATAAGGTATATTTCTAAACCATGGGATGAAATTAAACATGAAACGACATGTTAATGTCAGGAAAAGTACCATTTTCCAGGTGCATCAGAAATACATGTTTATGTTGCTTTCCCTCCCAACATCTAGGCATCTTTTCACAAATTCAGATGACTCCTCTATGGAAAAAGAAAGAACTGAAAGAAAACTTAATAAGAATCCATGTGCACAAGAGCAGGTCTGCTTCGCACGGAAGAATTACTGGACTTTTAACAATCAAGGCGAAACTCTTCTAGAGTTGTACAGTTGAGTTCTTCATCCGTCCCTCTTTTCTCCCTTTAAACAAATACTGTTACTGTTTCGGTTTTTGCCTTTAATTGCATTTGAAGTGGTTTCTCGTGGAAAAAGACTGCCTGCACACTATAACTACAATCTAGCAAAAACTTGTTGTAAATTTACATCCCATTAAAATGATTAGGAGTTCTTTGCAACTAACTCCCATTTCATTCCTTTCAATGGTACTTGGTTGAAGCTAACTTTTCCCGAACGATGTTTTCTTTGTTAAACTGGAGGTTGGTGCTTGTTTTTATTTTGATTTACCGTATTTTTTGCTCTATAGGACGCACTTTTCCCCCTTCAAAAATTATGGGGAAATGTGTGTGCATCCTATGGAGCGAATGCAGGCTCCTTGGCTTCAGCGATAGCAATGCGAAGCCTCCGAAGCGCAGAGGGAGAGCTCCCCCCGCGCTCCGGAGGCTTCACGTTGCTTTCGCTGAAGCTACCTGAAGCCCCCGGAGTGCAGTGGGAACTCCCGCTGCGCTCTGGGGGCTTCAGGCGGCTATCCGCAAGCCTTCGGAGTGCAGCGGGACTTGTGGATAGCCGTCTGAAGCCTGGAGAGCGAGAGGGGTCGGTGCACACCAATCCCTCTTGCTCTCCAGGCTTTGCTTCGCTGGAGAGGTGCTGCACAGTTTTCCCTCTCTGCGCAGCGCCCCTTCAGCAAAGCGGGAGGAGAAATGGAAGGGGCTCCGTTTCTCCTGCCGGTTCTCTGTAGGGGAGCTGAGCAGAGAGGGGAAGAATTTTTTCCCCTGTTCTCCCCCTCTGATGGTCCGGTGCGTCCTATGGTCCGGTGCGTCCTATAGAGAGAAAAATACGGTAATTATGAAGCCCGGGAATT